AAAACACTATGGACATTTCTAAAAAAAAAAAAAACTTAAAGCAGGCTAGTTATTGCTATAATTTGGATCTTGAATGTCCCTCCTAGGCCCATCTGGTAAAGCTTTGATGCCCAAGAGTGTCCTAATAGGAGGTGATGGCACCTTTAACAGGGAGGGCCTCGTGAGAGGTCTTCAGGTCATTCGTGGAGTGTACTTGAAGGGGAGTGTGAGACTCCAGCCTCTTTTTCCTTGTTCTTTTTGCTTCTTCACCATGTGATAAGTAGTTTTGCTCTACTATATGACCTCACTATGCTATGCTGCCTTACTACAGGTCCAAAGCCAAAGGGCCAACAGATCATGGACTGAACCCCCTAAAACTGTGAGCCAAAATGAACCTCTTCTCTTTATAAGTTGATTATCTCAGGTATCAGTTACAGCAATGGAAAACTGACTATCACAGTCATAATATACTAGTATGATAACATACTAATTCACACAATCCTTTCCAGTGGGGTAACAGATGGCTGTAAAGAAAGACTAAAAGACCTCCTTAAGAGTCTCTGACAGAGAAGGATCAGGGAGATTTATTCTCTGGGCCAACAGGCAAATGTATAATCACTCTGTGGCTCAGTTTCCTCATCTGGAGATGACAATAGCTCCTTTCCAATGGGACTCTTCGGGCAATCTAATGAGTTAATAAAATGTAAAGTGCCTGGGACAGTGTGGCCCAGAGAGAGCTCAAGTAGGTACACAAGATCGCTGTTCCTACAATCTGCTTTTGTGGAGCATCAGCATTTTTCTAAAATGTATCGCTATCCCTTTCATGAAAGAAAGATAAGAGGGAAGGAAAGCAGAGGGGAGGGGAGGAAATGGGAGGAAAGGAAAGGACAAGATAAGGACGAAGGGAAGATGGGAGGGAAGGACGGAGGGAGGGAGGAAAGGAGAATTGAATAAAATGATTACTTAGGTCAATTTACTAACCAAGAACAGAAATGCACTTGAAGAATCCTAAAATGACCCTCTCCTCAAAACTTTAAGAGAGCGCTTCCCCAGATGCACAAGGTAGAAAATTTAGTGCTAACCCAGTTGGATATCAATTAAAGTCCATTAATAGATATTTCACAAGGAAATACAACTAGTAAACAGAGGTAGGGGAAAACATTCAGCCTTTTAATTAAAAAAAATAGAAAATTAAAATACACGAATGGTTTTCAACTATTAAATGAACCTCAAAAATGTTTGCTTTTTAAAATATATTACTCAATGCTGCCAAGACTAAAATAAAGTCCCAGTTTTCACGGATTGCCAGTGAGGGCAAACGAGGGCAGCTCTTTAGCAAAACAAGCAGGTAGTCTGGGTGCACAGCCAGAAAACAGCGCCCCGCCCTCGGCCCAGGCCTCTCGTTTCTGAGAATCCAGTCCAAGGACAGTTCTCAAAATGGGAAAGTCAGGTCCTCCATCACGTTTACAATAGTGAACATCATTTCCAGTAGTAGAAACCTAGAAGCCAGATGGGTAGAGCTCAGAGGCGAGCCCTTGCCTAGCCTGCAAAAGACCCCGGCTTCCGTCACCAGCACAGAAGGAGGGAAAAAAAGATGAACACTGCGTAATAAATAATATAATAAATGAACTATAGTGTACCAAGTTAATGGCCTATTATCTAGGCATTACAAGTGATAGAAAAATTTCAAAACAGAATAAACGTTTGCATGTTGAAATGTTACATCGAAAAAAATGAAATGTAAAAACTGAATAACCATGGTAATTACAAGTGGGAAAAAGCCAGAATGAAAACTTGCTTAGGCAGATCTCCTGGAGTACAGACTGCAATGCCTCTGCTTTTCTCCTCTCTTTCCCCTCAGTCTGTACAATATGTATTTCATTACCTTACGAGAAAACATCTTCCTATCTTCTGAAAACCTTTCATCTGTGTAGATGGAAAAGAGCTGCTCGCTGGCCCATATCCCGCCAAAGACACCTCTCCCAGTTCTTCCCTGCCCTTTAAGAAGGGTCAGATTTTCTGTCTTTTATTTTAAGCCCAAGGCACAATGCAATCACCTCTCCAAGGTGAGAACACTGGCCACCTTCACGCTCTTCTTCCAAAATACCTGAAACACCCACTTGCTCTAAAAAATCAGAGCAAAGGCTTTGTGACTCCTGCAGAAGACACACGGCCTGTCTACCTCACTCGAAGGTGGCATGACTTCTACATCAGCTGCCCCCAGCATCTTTACAAAGAGGGTGAAGTTGGTCACCCCACCGACCTCAGCCCTCCCTCCTCGGCTCAGGCTGAAACCTCGGTCCTTCTGTGGTCCAGGCACAAGTAAGTTCCTTAAATGCTCTGGAAACTGTGATCACTGCAGTCAGCTGCAGAGAACACCTTCTTTTTTTAAAGAAGTAACAAAATGAAAAGAGCTCAAAGCTATAAGGGAATGTTCATATCCCACAGCATCTCTGTGTCAGAGCATGGGCCAATCACACAGAACAATTGTGAATACAAAACATAGTAATGTGGCCAATGGCCTCTAATGTTAAGTAGAAAAATTCAGGCAATTCGATCCTATGTCCTGATGAAGATGGCCGTATAAGATAGTTGGTACAGGTGACCAATAATAGTGCATCTTTAACAGCCACTAGTTGGGCTGTATGCAGACACTGTGCCGCATGCTTTATGCATGCTACAGCTTCATTCACAACAACGCTGAACTGTTCCCATTTTGGAGAACAGGAAATTGAGGTGCTAGGGAACTGTTCAACCCTCTCAATGGCTAAGGTTTAGAACATTCTGGTAACTTTCCCCAGCACACTCAGCCACCCAAAGACAGAAAAGGCTCAGATTTGGACATAGCCAGTCTTTCTCCGTGGCTTACACTATCAACTTCCAGAATGGAACAGGAAAGAAATTTAAAATGAAAGTAAAATTTCTATTAGAAAAGGGACTTTTTCTTTTCCTTATATTGTCTAAACTTTCTAGTGTTTTAGTTTTGCAATAAACAAAAAGCGGAAGACGCAACAAAGAAGAGGTTACTGCATGTACTTGTATGTATGTATGGTTTATTTTTTTAAAATGATGCTTTGATCAAAGGAAAGCAATAAATGCCAGTCAAGTTTCTATGACCCTCAGGAGCACGTGACATGATGCGGATAACCAAGATGGAGCCTGCATCCAACAAAACCAAACAGCTCCAGGCAGCTGTGGGTATCATCCTCATCCTTTTTCCTAACGTTCTCTGTCCATTACCTCTCCCAGTTGAAGCAGGAATTCTAAAATGCCAGGACTGTACTGACAGAGGACAGAAAATGTTACAGAATCACCAACAGCACATAGCTATTGCAGACAAAACTGGGAATGTGACCTCGGTCTGACTCCTCATCCTGCATTCCCTCCCACACTTTTCCTAGACCAAATATTCCAAGTGAGAATGACAGTCACATTAACCAGAGTTCAGAAACACACCTTGTCCTGAAAATGGCAGGTCCACCTATATAGCACTTGCAGAGTGTTTACTAATCCTTAAAACTAGACAGAAGATAGGGCTCATCTGGAACTCAAATGAGAAATATTAAATTTCTAGCAGTTTTGAAGCCATGTTAGAAACGGAAAAGTTGCTTTTCAAAAGAAATTCTGCAAAGAAAGAAAGGAAGGGAGGAAGGGAGGAAGGAAGGAAGGAAGGAAGGAAGGGAGGAAGGAAAGAAAAAAGAAACAAAAACCATTATGTCAAATGGTCTGTTCAGAAAAATTACCTGTGATAAACAAAATGGAATATTCTCCCCCCAAAAGACCACCATCCCCCAAACTTCTCTGAGGACCAGGAGCAGGCCTGGGGGCTATGGGCCCCTCTGCCAGCCGAGGGCCAATGCAGGAGCAGGCAGTTGCCCTCCCGAGCACGTCGGGAAGGAAGAAGCAGCTGGCTTCATGAGTGGGCTCCAAACCCAGTGCTCCTTCCTGTGCATCCTCAGACTGGGCCTTCAGTCCCCAGAACAGTTACGCTAAAAGTTCAAGCCATTATCCTGTTCTCAGCCATTTCCTCAGCTGCCTTCCAGAGAGACATCAGGTTCAGAGCCAGAACAGAGTCCTCATGTCCGAGAGGCCACAGGCCTGGTTCCCATAGTGCACGAAGGAGCCAAGCGTCACTGTTCCATTATGTGGCCCCAAGGCAGTCACCCATCAGTAAGCCTGTGCGCAACCTGCATGGTGCCTCCAACCTGCCAGGTGCCCAGGAGGCTGAGCCCCAGCCAGGCTCACTCTGCAGAGACAAACAGAGGGGCAGGGGAGAGGAACTGACTCCCTGGGGCAAGGAGTGTGGTCATCTGACACCCCAAGTCCCCCATCACACGCCAAGTGCCCTTCTTATAGATGATCCCAGACCTAGATCTCAAATGTTTCAGAGTCACAAAACTGGTAGGAGGCAGGGAAGGGATCCCAAGCACCACTAGGCCCTGGTGGTGCCCATTTGAAGGGGATGCTTTGCTGAAGGCTCAGATTGTACCTACCAGCAGAGAAAAGAGGCTGGGGATACTCCCACCTCACACTGTATACTCGGCAGGGTGCTGGCCCTCACTGAATTACCAAGGAAACAGCCAGCGTGCCACAAGCAAGGTGGTTAACAGCATAGAGGGCCCTAGGTTCAGTGGCAACCAAGAGTGCTGCTTGCCTGTTGTGAAACACGGCAGCTACGTGATCTCAGAGATTCTCCGATGGCTCCTATGTAAGTGAAGGTGGCAGCAGTACCCCAGGAAGCAGAGGCTGAGGGGAGAAGGCTCCGCTCTACCAGCTGTGGCTCCACCACCTTCAAGACCCATTTCTGCACAGATCAAGCTTCTCTGGGCCACGGGGACAGAGTGGACAGGCCAGGACGGCTGGACAGAGGCTTGAGCCCTTGGGCATGTGATAAACAGGGTGCAGGATGAAAGGCAGATCAGGGCATCCAGTTCCGCCAGGTGCACCTCGCCGCCCACCGCACCTTGCTCTCTGCGCCCCGCCCACCCGCTGCGCCCCGCCCACAGCCGGCCAGCACTCACGGCACTCCCACTCGTCGCTCTTGTCGAAGCAGTCGGGCAGGCCGTCGCACTGCCAGGAGCCCGGGATGCAGCGCCCATTGCTGCACATGAAGTTGCCTGGAATGTTGCACTCATTGGTGAAGTTGTTCCCGGGGAGCAGCTGGCTCTCTGTCGGAGAGAGGGGACAGGCGTCAGAAGGCACACAGCAGCAGCCCCGGTGCTGAAAAGGCACGGGTGAGACCCCAGTAGTGGTCTCTGCCCCTCTGAGCCTCAGTCTCCCCACCTGCCAAATGCACGGATGACCCACCCCACACCCTTGCCAGGGATGCTGAGAGGGCGAGCTGGAGACATATAAGAAAAGCACTTAGCTGCCTGACACAAAACAGGTGTCAAAAACGGACTTTTGCTTTCCTACCAAAGGAACTGGATATAAAACTCCTCCCGATATTCTTTTCTAGTCAGCAGCAATGGGTAAAAATTCAAGCTCTAGACAGACGTGCACACCAAACTCCTGATATTTCTCGCAGCGAAAACAGAAGGATCCTTCCAGGCCACAGACTGGCAGCCCGCACAATCACAGAGCCCCTGAATGTGGGTCGGGTTGGCAGGAATAGCGGGAGATCACTTCACTCGAGGAAACAGGGTGCCCGGATCTACAAACCGACCCGCCTGAGTTCCTATGGGGAGGAAAGGCCGAGATGAAACTTGAACTCAGGCCTTCTAACCCCCAAGAGGCTGCCTTAGCCCCTCCCCCGCCGACCCAGGTCCCGAGGTGTAGCGCCAAGCTCCAAGGTTGACTCCCTGCCACAGAACACAGTCGTAAAGCACCAAGGACCCCACCCAAACCGCCCTCGATCAGGAAAGCAAACAGAAAGCAGGGATGATGGATGCCGGGAAGGAGCGCTGAACACATCCCCTCTGCAACCTGGGAGGCAATTCTCCAGGGTCAGCCTGAGCCAGCATGGTCAACGTCTAGGAGATAGGAAACCATTTGGAGATAAAATAGTCTTAGGGAAAAAGGCAGAAAGAAAAGACCAGTCCCTCAGTACACAGAGCTCCAGGGCTCCCTTCCGAGTCATTCAATAAGCATTTATTGGGCATTTATGACCAGACACTTGTGCTGTGTCAGAGAGAAGCATAGCTAGGACTCCTTCCTTTGGGCTGCAAAGACACACATGCAGACTAGAGGTTTTGCTGCCACAGCTGTGATAAGAAACAAGCTGCCTGGGGGCAAGAGAAAGACAGAAGAGCCCAAGATCCTCTTTCTCAAGATTTGCCCAAGAGAAACATCTTTAAATCTCAATCTTCAAGATCCCTCACCACATCCCTTCCTTGCCACTGCCCTTCCATGTGCTCTTTCTTCTACCCAGGGTACCCTTCCACTCACAGGGGCTCCCAGAAAATCGCTATGTCTTCTTCAGGGAGTGACTTCTCCACTGCCCTCCCTCGGAAGTGGTGCTTGGCTCCTCCAAGCACAGATAAGCATATACTCTGTGGTTTGGTGATGCTACTATAGGGGTGATACTAAAAATAATTTATAAGTGGAACAAGCAGGCAAGGACCAATGGGAATGGACACAGGCATAGGAAAGCAGCATCACGCCAGCTCTGGTGTCACGGATATTCCTGGTGGACCATCTGCCACACGGTGCTGGGTCTGTAGCACACATGCAGGGCTTCCTGCTGAAGTGAGCCGACACAGCTCATTGGAGGACTCAGAAGAGAAGCTACACAAGGGGATTCACTCTGCCCCACTGTTCACACCAGAACCTTAGAAATCTCCCTTGTTCCTTCCTTACCCCATCACCCCTACAAATGTCAAATCACCAAGTCTCCATCGCTGCAGTCCCAACTCGAGCCCAAGTGGCTGCCGCCCCTGACCAGGATTACTGCCTGCCCCAACCTGCCAGCTGGGTCTCCCTGTTGGCTATCTTTCCCTACTTCAATCCATTCTCCCTTCTCATGGCCAGAAAGATCTTTCTAAACAGCATATGGGTCATACATTTCATTACTTTAAAAAGCTGTCGAAGGCTCCCCAGAGTTCTTTAGTCAAAATTCAGGGGAAGCAAGACTGATTCCAGGAGAGAGGTGGCATTTACAAAGGATGTGGACAGAGATACAGAGACAAAAGGGAAGGCTCCATCAGGCCTAGCAATCAGTGTCAACTAAGAGACAGTGCAGGAAGGCCCAGCCCCGGGGGTGAAGGAGTCTGGAATAGAAAAGCATGCAGCTCTATTAGGAATTGCGAATGTATTGCGCTACCATTTCTCCAATTCTACAAACCCAATCAGACATCACTAATCAATCACGGTATTCTACTCCACTGAGCCTAGACCCAACATCAGACTCCCTCTGAAATGATTCCAGAATGTCACCATCAACCCCAAGATGAACAGAAAAAGCTTCACTGTTTCCAGGCAAACAGTGCCGTGATGCTGGAGCGGGTATGAGAGGGAGGAGCCTAGAGAGGGCAGCCAGGTGCAGAATCCGAGCCAGACACCAAATGCTCAGCCCAGGACACCCACACACTCCAGCTGTTCCAGAACAACTGCTCTGGGCGTCACCACCAGCAAGCAGGGAACTCTTTCGGGCTGTGGAATGCAGAACTGACACTGTGTTTTGCTTGGAAATCACTTACGCTTGCTTTTGTAGAGCTAAGCTCCTCGAAGGCAACCCCCCTGGAAAAGTCACTACAACTGTGGTATCTTGTTCTGATAAACAGATTTCCGGAACCAGAAAATTGGCCCGATGAGATTGCAAAGTGCTTGCTCTGAGAGTCAATAAGGCTGCCGGCACATGCACTTGACAAATGAATGGGAGGACACAGAGACTAAACACCACGTCCATCACACACAGGTGGCCCTGCCGGCCACGGGCACCTGAGCCTGGTGAGCGATCACAGGAAGGCACATTCTTTCCAGGCTTCTGAGCAACCCCATTACGCATGCAGGGGGTGCACAGCCTGGTGCTTTAGGGAAATGACAACCTCATCAAACTGAAAAACGTTAGAGGAAACCAAGCAAAGAGAAGTTAAACCGAGTTAATTCCATCTTTGAAACTTTCCTCAAGCCCTTCCAATTTGTCTCACTAAAGCGGCACCACCCAATCCAAGACACCACTTCCACTTCCAGTTGTCACCACGGGATGGGGTCACACCAACATTTAGGAGGTAAAGGCCAAGAATGTCGCCCAGCACCCTGCAGAGTGCAGGATGCCCTAGCAACGCAGACTCACCCAGCCCCAGATATCAACAGCACTGAGGTGGAGAAGCATCTTACTTTAATCAAGCTGCCAACTGCTACTTCTCATCCTTCTGGGGCCCTCTCTTCACACAGACTGAGATTGTTAAATGTCACTGAGAGTTTCTCTGTGCCCTTAGGAGAAATCTAAAACTCCAGCCTTGGTTTGCAAAGTTCAGCATGATCCACCCCTGCCCATTTCTGCAACTTCTGCAACATTTCCCTTGATCGCACCAATGTCCTCCCTGCTACGAGGCCTCCAACCATGCTGCCTGTCGACCTCCGAGATTCTTGATTTTGTTCCCCCAGAATGTGCGTGTGAAAATCCTGAGCCCCAGTACCTCCTATTGAAACACAGGATCTGCAGCAAGGCAAGGAAGTGAAAATGAGGTGACAAGAGTGGCCTCTAGTTTAGCATGACTGGTGTCCTTATAAGAAAGAGTAAGACACCAACAGGCACAGAGGGAAGACTGGGAAAACACCAAGGAGGAAACACCATCTAGAAGCCAAGGACAGAGGCCCCAGAAGAAACCAACCCGCCAACATCTTGATCTCAGACTTCCTGCCTCCAAAACTGCAAGCCAATCAGCTCCCAATGTTTAAGCCCCACCGTATTCCAAGAGCCCCAGCAATCTAATCCAGCCAGGTAAGCAGGCCCTTCACACCTCAGCTTAACTAACGCTGGTTCCCTGCATGGACCCTTGTCTTTCACTCTCCGTCACTTCCTGTGTTTTCCTATATCTTAATTTGTGCTTGTAGATAGATGAGTTTGCACCATCCTTCCACAACACGGGAACGCTCTCTGAAGGCAGAGAAGCCTTGTGTCATTCAGCTGTATCTCAGGCACCTGTTACTCCATAGCTCTCCCACAAACATCTGTGACCATTTGAAAACCAAGTGTTGCATTACTAACTTATTCCCCGCCCCGGACTTTTCCTTGGAAAATTCCACCCATACCCCCACTATGAGTGGGATGTGTACACTTGTGGTTAAAATTGTGGGATGTGGGGTATCTGGACTTGTCCAAGCAAATTACTACACTGCCTGCTTTGAAAGAGGCTAGAAATCTTTTAAACTCAACAGCAGGACTTTCTAGCGACTGAAATATTTATCCCCTCTCAGCGTCATGGGACACATTGAGAATCCAAAAAAGACAAGCACTAACATGAAGCTGGCTAGCCAGGGTCTCTCCTCCTCCCTTTTCTCCTTTTCATTAAGCTGAAAAATGGAAGAGCTGCCCGTTTTCACTGCAACACATCACTTCCTTAAAATAACTCCACCATCTGTACCAAGAATGAGAAAAAAAGGAAAATCCAAGTCTTCCCCCATGGGACAAAGGCAAAAAGCCTATTACAGCAGCTTCTTCCAAAACCTCTGGCATCCACAAATTTGCACTTGGCAAGCGGGCCAAAAAGGAGGCAACTACAAAACCCCCACAGCTGCTGCGCCCCACCAGAATCATTCCAGAATACAGTCAGCAATGCGGACTTTTCCAGCTGAGAAACGGGAATTCTACACCACCGGCTGGAGTCCTCTGGATTCTCTCCCTCTGTGCATCTCCCTTCTCTCTCTAGGGAAAGCCCTGTCCTGCTGCTTTTCAGAATTGACATCTGCAAGCCGTCGACAGAACCTGCTTTCAGATTTCTGCCTTACAGCTTTCCTTCTCATTCTCTGCTCCCTGACCATCAGGTCTGCAGACTCAACGCACAGCAAAGCCAGACACACAAACATGCCCATGTGCAGACACACATGCGGCTTAGCATTCAATTTTGCAGGTCTCCAACAGATCTTCCCTAAGACCTCTCCAGAGAATGAGCAACCTTTCCCATGGCTTGAAGCCAACATCCATAGTGTTCCGAGGCCACTGAAAGAAACCTGTTTTCCCTGTGACTTGCTTCTTGAAGCACATACGAGTACACACATGCACACAGACATGCACAATCCATGCACAGGCACAGGGAAGGCCACCAAGTGTGCTCGTCTGCGTGATTTGTTGGTGACCAGCCCCAGAGAATCCCCAAAAGTCCCTCCAACTCTAGATTGGCCCAAATGGCGCCATCAACATGGGATGGAACCTGAGACATCTGTCCTGTTCATTTCTTTCCAGAGCCATTCTGTTCTCATCAAATGACTCTGTGCTAGACCTCGGCTACAGGAAGAAGGAAAGAGTCACATGAGGCTGTCTGAGTCTGGGGCAAAGATGTGCCCCTGGCTCTAAGCACATGAGCTTATCCAAGTCAGCAGCCCAGTCTCGATGTGAGCTGTGAGCTCCTTCCACTAGTCCCTGCCTGTTTACCCACCTGTTCAAGGAAGCTATAACCCAGAGAAACTGCTGAGAAGATATAAAATGACCCCGGGGTTCAGCCCAGGACCACTGGCCATTGATATTTACATACTTTATATCCACACCATCCATGACCCTGAAGGAAAATTTCACAGCATGAACAATTTATGGCTGGAATGAGCCAGCTTAGCGATAGTGAGTGAGCCTAGCTGTCCACTAACTTCAGCACATCACACGGCTTTCGGTGTGCCTCGCTCACCAAGTGAGATGCAGCAAGCATTACAAAATGATAAATGCTGTGTGTCCTTCCTATCAAACAAGTTAGCAAAGGGAACCAATGGCCAGCATTAATGAGGCAAGCAAAGAGTTCTAGCAAAAGGACAGTTTTTCACCAGGAGATAGCTTTATAAATTATTTTTCTCCTGTATTTATAGCCTCATTAAGGGCCTGAAGCTGTTACTTATATTTTTTAGTTATGCTTCATTGCATTTCATGAGGCAAATTATGTCAGGATGGCGTTAATGTAGTGAGGAGCTACAGAGCCCCGGGGGATGCAGGCCCTGGGAGGCCAAGGTCCCCAGTTCGGGGCCTGACAGAAGCACTGGAAGATGCTATTCGTTATGACACTGACCTAGAGGGGGAGCCCTGAGCCCTGCCCAACCTGTCCACATCTCTCCTCAGTTAATTACTATTGACTCTTCACTAGGGAAGATCTAACATCTACCAAAACACTTAAACACAGCAGGAGTTTAACATCAGCTTTCTTGTCATTTCTTACAAGAGTCCATGAAACAGGTGCCCTGCCCATCTTTGCATAGAAAGATAAGAGAGTGAAGCAAGTTGCCCAAGGTCACACAGCTAGAACAGATCAGCAAACGGCTAGAGAGTCAATACACCTGCTATGCAGGCCAGAAGGCCACATGAAGGATACCTTAGAGCTAGCTATGCAAGAGAGAAAATAATATTCCACCAAATGTTTATTGATAAAATTCAAAATATTTTCATACTAACTGAGAATAATTCCCTGGAATACAGGGCTACCACGAAGAAGAATGAAATTCTGCCAGGGGGTGATAATTAACATTTCACTTCGAGGAGGTTCAAAGTTAGTATTCCCTATCATCAAAATCTATTGCAAATGATAGGGATTTCTTTCTCCTGACCTTTCCAATGTGTGAAAGCCCTTCTTGGGGAGCGTCTAAAAACAGGTGGTGGGCTGGCTGTGGCCCATTTGCCAGCCAAGTCTTGGGTCATAAGCAGTAGGTCTTTGAGAAATAAGAAATGACAACGGTGTCCAGTCCCAAGGCTGTTCCTCACTGTCCGATCACACCCAGCACATGGAAATGAGCCTGCTGCTCGCTGGCTGCTCCGCCCATCATGCCAGGGACCATGGCTGTCCTGCTGCCGCTGTGTCTCAGCCTCTACGGGGAACAGGCCCCTGCAGATGCTCTGTAAATGAATGACGACCGAATGGGTGGAGAACACAACCTGTTGACCCCTACATATCTTTCCAGTTCTGGCTCTCCTAAATTCTGAGAATTTATCTAAACCTGCCTTGAACCCATTTATACTTGGTGTTCAAAACGCAATGGACCTGGTGCCTGCCTGTACTTCCAGCACTGGGGGCGGAGGGGAGGGTCCAAGTTCCAGCTCAGCCTCAGCAACTTACCAACTGGGTGAGACTCCGTCTCAAAATGAAAACTGAAGTGGGCCGGGCATTTAAATGAGTGGGAAGGCCTTGGGTTCAATACCTGGTACTGGAAAGAAAAAACGAAACGGGAAAAGGAAACAGCAGATCAATGAGGCTGAGTCTGCAGAATGTGTCAAAGTTTCCAGAAAGAGCAGCAGGAAAGTGAAGAGCTTCGGCAAGTCCCCTAGTGCCGTGTCTTCGCTGGTACCCACATCCTCCCCAAGGGCAGGCTGAATGTCAGGAGTGGGGGAGAACTCAGAACAGTAGCCACCCCAGCCTGGCCCGGAGTCCTTCCACCTTTCCAGCTCCCAGCAGCAGCCTTAGCAGGAGGGCAGTGGAACTAAGCTGAAGGGGAAGGAAGGGGATAGCTTTACAACCAGTTTTATCAGGCTGGCGATAAGCTAGGCTTAAGAGCGGGCCAATCAACGCAGCACTTCAGCAGCTCTCAGAAACAGCCTCAGGGTCAAGGAGGAGGATTGTGCTGCAAGCCCAAGTTCAGCCTCTGAGCCCAGGACTGGTACAACCATTTCCACAGTCACTGGCAATCGTTCCGCAGCCAACCCTCGGCTCCAAACAGATGCCTCCAGGCAGGGCGGGCGTGGAAAATACCAATGCCAAGCAAGGATGAAGCCAGTAAAGTAAAATGATCTTCAAGCATATCTTTATGAGCTCAGGAGAGATTTCTGAAATAAGTCTCAACAAAAGCCCTGAGCATAAAGGAAAAGACTGATAAACACAACTCCATTAAAAAGTGAAACTGCTAGTCATCGACAGACTCAATAAACAAAGGTCAAAGGCAAGCCACTTCCGAGAAGATGATAGCTGCCGCACATACAGCCCACAAAGTGTCCACATCTAGGAGTTTCTTAGAAAACTATGTAAGAAAGCACAAGCGATCCAATAGAAAAAAATGGACAAACCATAGGAACAGGTACTTCCACTGATGAAGAAACTTGAATAGCCACTTAATACACACTCAGCCTCACTTGTAATCAGAGAGTGATTAATGGAACAGGAAGCTCTCTCTCACACCCGTGAGTGTTGTAAAAATCTCAAGCCTGACATTCTCAAGTGGCGAGAAGATGAGGAAGAACAGGAACTCACATGCTGCCCAGGGTAGAGGAGCTCTGAAGAGCCACTCGGCAACTCCTGAAGGAGTTGAGGTTGCTTCCAAACTCTGACCCTGTCAGTCCTCATCAGGGACTCAGCCTAAGCTGGGGACAAACATGCTCTGTACACAGGATGACAGCAAGAGAACTTCACTGTGACACTGATGTCACACAAGACTGGGAGACAAACTAAATGTTCATCAGAAAGAGAAAGGAGGGAAAACAGAGCATATTCACAAAATGGAATGGAACCCACGATTTTCAATGAATGAACCAGAGTGCCATAAATCACCATGCATGCTTTGAGAAACCTGATGAAGTCAAATGTGAGTTGCAGGCTATTACCTCCATAAAGCTAGAAACCATGCTATTTTAATGGGTAAAATTTTTATACCTACAGGTATAAAATTAGTTTTTTAATGTATGGGAAAGATTAAATATAAATTCAGGACAATGGTCACCACTGGCCAATGGGATCAGAGAGGGTTAACACTGAACTTCGACTGTAAGAAATCTGACTTAAAAAAATCTGAAACAAGCATGGCAAAGGTTAAAATATACTGGACCCAGGGGCGAGGCACACAATCTTACTTGGTATTATCCTTAGTGACTTTCCTCTTTCCTTTATAAAAAAGAGTTCATTAATAACATTCATTAGAAAGAATAAAAATTGGGGCTGGGGATTTAGCTCAGTGGCACAGCGCCTGCCTGGTAAGCACAAGGTTGTGAGTTCGATTCCTGGTACCGGAAGGAAAACAAAAACACACACAGAAAGAATAAAAATTACAGCTGGATGCGGGGGAACATACCTGTAAATCTCAGAACTGTAGGAGCCTGCGACAAGAGGACGGTGAGTGTGAGGCCAGCCTGGGGAACTTAGCAACTCAGCGAGATCCTGTCTCAAAATAAAAAATGGCTGAGAATGTGGCTCAATGCAAAGGCCCTGGGTTCAACCCCCAGTACCACAAAAAGAGAAAAAAGAAAAGTTGCAAGAGTAGTTTAGAAAAATCTATGAAAGACATATGGAACCATTTATCACTCATGTTCTAAGCTTCCAAACCCTCTCAACTATAAAGGAGTAAGAGATAAAAGGGGCCAAGTGGTCACAGTGGAAAAGAACAAATGCAAGGGCATTCATCTGGGAGACTCCGTCTATTGTGAATTCTTCTCATTTTCTGAAAGGCAGCAACAGTTGCAGGGTAAGAGCTGATTGTGGGGAAAAAATAAACATATAAGATAGATTCATCCACCCAACTTATTAAACCATGGCATTCCAAAAATAAAAATAGCAAGGCCTAACCAGCAGGTCAGACACTCTAAATCCTGACCAAGTCAGGGCTGGAAAAGCCACAGCAAAGCTGTCTTCCCTAGAATAGCAGCCCCGCCTCCCACGTCTGCCTCCTCCCCGCTCAGTGGAAGCTGCAGAGGTTCAGTGAAGGAGCTACTGGGGGTGCAGCCAGGCTGTAATTTGCTAAGTAAGCTAAGGAAAGCCCCTAGCTTCTGCATTAGAAAGCATACAGGGCACTGGCATGCAGATCAGACAGACAGCCTCACCCATCCACCTTGCCCTCATTTCTACAGGGAAAGCAGATGTTAAAATGCAAAGAATGTGCACACGTTCAGGAGTCAGCCCGATATGGGTTCAAACGTCTAATTCTCTTAAAACTGTAACCAACCATGTGACTTCAGACAAGCAACTTGCCCTCTCTGAACCCCAATTCTCCATCTGTAAAACAGGGGTAACCTTGCCTCTCTGGATGTGTTGCTGAGAGACAGAGGGATATCAGATAGATAGATAGATAGATAGATAGATAGATAGATAGATGACAGATAGATAGGACAAAAACAAAAGGGTAAAGAGTAGGCCTATATCTCAGAGTTTAATATATAACATTAGTATTGGTTGCTACTTCTTTCCCTCCACACATTGTCATGGACCCTTCTCACTGTGCCCATACTGTGAATAGTACCGAAAAGGCTGGTTCCCTTTCCTCTCTCTGTCTTCCTAAAAAGGGCCTCACCAGGGAGGGTGGGAGGCCAGCAGGAATGGAGGCTGGCTGGCTGCAACCGAGTGGTCATGCAGATCCAGAAAATCAAACAATGGGACAGACCCCAGGGTCTACAGACACAGCTGAGAAGCTCACAGTGCAAACCTTCTAACATAGTCATCTCAGCTCAGTAATTCCGAAGAAAGAACGAGCCCTCTGTAGATCACCCCTAGGAATCTCTAACAGCAGCTAAACCATGAACAGGAACACACCCTCCCAAACAACATGGTTCCACAGAAGGTCAAAGGAGAAAGACACATGGGACTGGCCAACAGGATTTGGGGGAAACTACTTCACCATCCGAGTCCTCAGTTCCCTGTGTGTCAATTAAGGCACTGCTGGATGATGTCCAAGTTCCTTTTTAATTCTCAGTTTGTTCATCCTTTGTTTCAGAGGACACAGAACGGTCCCTACAGCAAGCCAACATACACCACCTGCCTATCCTAGATAACACCAGGGTGAGCTCACTATATGGTGAATATGCATTGCCGTTAGTCCCCCTCCAAGCTCTCCCCCTTGTTTTCAACACACTTATCCCAACATTCTCGGCACTTTCCAAAGCAAAAAAGTGGCACTTTCGTGTTTTTAAATGGTACGGCCAAAAATACAGTGCATGCTGCTGCCTAGTGCCATCCAACAGAAAGGGAGGTTCGTAAAAATATTACGGCGCATCCTCATCCACCTTATTCACAGGATCTGGCACAGTGTAACTTCTCGGTCTTTCCAAAACGACCACGACAGGTAAACAGTTTGAATCAACTGAGGACATCAAGGCAGCCATGACAAACATTCACGAAAGAGGACTTCCAGAACTGCTTCAGAAAGTATCAAGTATGATGGGACAAGTGTGTTTGAAGCCAGCGGGGAGTACCTGAGGGAGACTAATGGCAAAGTGTCTTTTACAATAAACTTTTAAAAAAATTAAATGTTCATCATGTCGTTTGAACGAGGCACACATTCTTCAGCGTGACCAAACAATGTCTGGGGTTCACACTCAGGTCTTTTTCTAAAGATATCCCTGCAAGGCGGTGGCCTAGAGGAGCCAGAGGTCACCAGCTTGTTAAAAGGCTGTCTGGAGCTGGCCGAACTGACCCCAGGGGACACTCACTTCTGGCCTTCTGCTGTCCACTTGGTGAGACAGTGGGTCTCACTGCCCCTCTAGCAGGAGGAAATATCTCCAAAGGAACAAGAGTCAGACCTGCCTCCCACTCCCTATGGATTCAAGAGCCTCTCGGGGTTACTTCAATTATCCACAATCTTCCATCATGTCTCAGCAAATGAACAACTGTTTGGCTTATCATTTCCGATTAGAACAGGAACTCTGCCAGACAAATCAAAAACGCTGGCCTGTGAGAGCCAAGCAAAGCAGAGGGATGCATACTAACTGGGGCATCTTTTCAAATTTTCTTAAATAGCTTAATCCATTAAACTGGCCCATCCTGCTTTCACAGTCTGCTCATGCTGGGCCGACAACAGGCCGTCCATCAGGAGGAATTAGCTGACGTCTTAAGCAAACGATGCTGCTACATCTAGCAAGTGACAGA